AGAGAGAGAGAGAGAGAGGTCCGGAAGATCTGAGGCTCTTCCAAGTGCAAACCAACAACACCAAGCGAGTGGCCTCCTTCAACACCGCCTTCACCATCAACGTAGTACCTGAGTCCAACGTGGCCACCGGCGAGGGCCTCACCTTCCTGATTGCTCCGAGCCTCGATGACCCTCCGCCCGGGAGTCACGGACCCTATCTCGGCCTCACTAACGCTAGCCTCGATGGGAATAACTCCAACCACTTCGTCGCCATAGAATTCGACACCGCGAAGCAGTCCTTCGACAGCGACGACAACCACGTCGGCCTTGACATCAACGGTGTCGACTCGAACATTACCGGCTCCCTCACGCCGCTAGGCATCAAGATTGTGAACGGCACGAACTACGTCGTGTGGATCGACTACGACGGCGTCCATCGCCATGTGTGGGTGTATATGGCCGTCGAGGGCAGCGACAAGCCGGTCGCCCCCGTACTCAACGCCTCCATCGACATCAGCGACTACGTCCTCCAGCGCTCCTATTTGGGGTTCTCAGCGTCCACGGGAAGCCACTTCGAGCTCAACTGCGTGCTCGCATGGAACCTGACGGTGGAGAACCTTCCCGACGACGGCGGCGGGCTGTCAATCGGAGCCATAATAGGTGTGGCGGTCGGCGTAGGGTGTGTTCTCGTGGTGATGACGTTGACCACGGGGATCTTGGTGGTGTTCTGTCGCAGAAAGAGGGCGGCTGGGAATGAACGTGACATGTTGAGAAAGAAGCTGAACGGCCTTCCGGGGACGCCGAGAGAGTTCGAGTACAAGGAGCTGAAGGTGGCGACCGGAAACTTCGATGAGCGGCGGAAGCTGGGACAGGGGGCCTTCGGTGAGGTGTACAAGGGGGTGCTTCCCGGAAGCAGCATGGAAGTGGCGGTGAAGAGGTTCTCGAGGGACAAGACCAGCGGACAAGACGACTTCCTCGCCGAGCTCACCATCATCAATTGCCTCCGCCACAGGAACTTAGTGCCTCTCCTTGGTTAGTTCCGCTTCTCTCTCCCTTATATCTCCATCTCTCTCACACACAACCCATTAAAAATGAATCATAACTATTACTTAGCATTTACGGAACACATTTAGAGACACACTTCAATCTTTGCACATGTTGGCAACAACATAGCTCAAAGCATATTAGTATAGACTTCAATGTATACTAATTGATTTTAATGAAAATTTCCATTGATATTTAAGTGTATATGAAGGGAGAAAAGAAAGCATATGACACACACATATATTTACGCGTATCTCTTCCTTGTACACTGCACGGTATTCTAACTTCGTGCGTGCGTGCACGAGTGACACAGGGTGGTGCCACAAGAACGGCGTCTTGCTTCTGGTGTATGAGTTCATGCCGAACGGGAGCCTGGACCAGTACCTCTACGGCGACGGAGGCCTCGTCTGGTCCCGGAGGTACAACATCGTCGCCGGCGTCGCCTCCGCACTTCACTACATCCACCACGAGTACAACCAGATGGTGGTGCACCGCGACCTGAAGCCCTCCAACATCATGCTCGACGCCACCTTCGACGCCCGCCTGGGCGACTTCGGCCTCGCCCGCGCCCTCGACACCGATAAGACCTCCTTCACCGAGCTCGGCGTCGTGGGCACCCGCGGCTACATCGCCAACGAGTGCTGCATCACCCACAAGTTCACCCGCGAGTCCGACATGTACGCCTTCGGTACCGTGGTGCTCGAGGTGGTCTGCGGCCGTCGCCCGCTGTACGACGTCTCCGGATTTCACCTGCTGGTGGACTGGGTGTGGAAGCTTCACCGCGAGGGGCGGCTGCTGGAGGCGGTGGACCCACGGCTGGGCGGGGAGTACCCGGCGGAGGACGCGGAGAGACTGCTATTGCTGGGGCTCGCGTGCAGCCAGCCGCACCCGGGGGCGCGGCCCAAGGCGCAGGCCATCGTCCAGATCGTGTCGAGGTCGGCGCCTCCGCCGGCGGTTCCGAAGTTTAAGCCCGCGTTCGTGTGGCCGCCGCCGCATTGGCCTCTCTTCGAGGGCAACCATGACGACCACAACTGGACGTCGGGCGCCACCCTGACCAGCAGAACGGCGACGTTCTCCAACAGCGGGGTCTCGTCGGCGGGGGTTGTGTGAACGACGCGGGCCCTAAGCCTGGATGTGGAAAAGGGAGACAGTGAGAAGATCTCCAGAGCGTAGCTTCAACACAGTTTAATTCATGTTGAATTTGTTAAGATAATAGTTTAATTGACGTAGCATATTTTGTAACCGTTATTATTAAATATCTAATTTAATAATAATATAACTGTTATCATTAAGATTCATAATTCATTATCATGAATTTTTTCATTAATTATGGTTTAAATGATTTCAATTTTTTATTCTTTATATATGAAACTGTTATTATTAAATTAAATATTTAATATCATTAAAGTTCTTTATGATCCAAACGTTACAAATTTGAATTAATTCTTGAATGTTATGAATTTGTAATGATAAATGTTCTTGATGGGAGAAAATCTATATATATGAGAATTTTGGTCTCTGGGCTCAATCATCTCTTTGAAGCGAAAAGCTTTTCTACGCCATCTAAAGCGAGAGTTCTGAGTCGAGAAGTACCAAAGTTCAAGAAGAAACCTCTGCAGAAATTCTTGGCGATAATGGCTGGAGGTACGCTATTTTATTTCCGCATCAGTTTTTATTATATTTATATTATAACAATTTAGAAACACAAGTTGGTTTCAGTGATTTCTAACATTTGGTATCAGAGCCTTTTGACCTCTGCCTTGATACGAAAGAGTTTTCATTTTTTATATCATGAAAATGATTTGATTTTGGTTTCTTCTTGGAAACTTCTTGATATATTTTATTGAAAATCACGAGGAAATATCATTTTCAATATTTTAGTTGGTAAAATGCTCATATTATGTATGCATATTTAGTTATATTAAATTATGCTTATGAGCAAATTTTTTATATTTAAAATGTCTAGTGATCAATATAATCTTAATTAATTAAGAATTAGCCACAGCATCCTTAATTTATTAAAATTATATATAAAGTTAAAATAAGGATCACATAAGTAATTAGACATCATATTGTGATTGATTATATTTCGTATAATAATTGTTATCCTATTGGATCTTTTATTATATTTAATATAATTAATCAAGATAAAATATCAGATTATGTTCATAATTTACCCACAGGGATTATGAATTGGAATATAATTTGATAATTTTATCATAAAGACCATATGAATCTATTTGAATTAAGAATTTAGCCCACAGGTAATTTTTATGTCATGAGATTCATATTATTGGCATGTTTCACATTGGTAAAACATGTAATTTAGTCTGTTAAACTTCAAATTTTGACAAAAGCATATTTGATTTTATGCAGTTTTTCAAACTGTTAATTTCTCTGATATTCGATGTGATATTCCTGAACTTAATGGTGATAACTATAAGATATGGAAGGAGAGGGTTCTCCTCCATTTAGGATGGATGGATATCGATTATACTATCAGGAAAGATGAACCACCTATAGTCACTAATACCAGCACTCAGATCACGTTATATGAGCGATGGGAGCGTTCCAATCGGCTCAGCGTGATGTTTATCAAAACTAAGATGACTGCTGGCATACGTGGTTCTGTTGACCAGCATGAAAATGTCCGAGACTTGCTAAAAACTATTGATGAACAATTCGTCACTTCGGATAAGGCACTAGCAAGTACCCTTATTATAAAATTTTCATCTCTTACACTCACCAACATAAAGGGTGTGCGTGAGCACATAATGCAAATGCGAGATATTGCGGCTCAACTTAAGAAACTTGAGGTTAATATGTCAGAATCCTTCCTGGTGCACTATATTCTGAACACCCTTCCACCTCAATATAGCCCTTTTAAAATTTTATACAATACACATAAGGACAAATGGTCAATCAATGAATTAATGACCATGTGTATTCAAGAAGAAGAGAGGCTAGTGATGGAATTGGGTGAGAGTGCATTGGTAGTAACCACTCGAGGGAAGAACAAACTAACAAACATCAAGCCAATCAGAAAGCTCATCAGCAGGGAAAAGGTAAAATACCACCCCAAGCTGATATCAAGAATGAAGCAAGGTGTTTCTTTTGTAAAAGAAAGGGACACGTGAAGAAGGAATGCACAACCTCATATGTATGTTATGAATCTAATATGGTCAATGTTAATATTAACACCCGGTAGATTGACTCTGGATCAACAATCCATATTGCAAACTCTTTGCAGGGTATACAAAACCTAAGGAAGCCAGTGGGAAGTGAGCAAAGCATCTTATCAGGAAATAAGATGGGCTCACATGTGGAAGCAATTGGAACATGCATTTTAACTTTAAGTAGTGGTTTTGTTTTAAAATTGGAAAGAACCTTTTATGTACCAAGTTTCTCACGAAACTTAATTTCTGTTTCCAGACTCGTACCATTTGGGTATTCCTTTAATTTTAAAGACACATCATTTCGTTTATTACATAAATCTGATTGTGTTGGGAATGATATTTTATCTGATGGTCTTTACCGTATTTTATTACAAAATGATAATACTCAAAGTTCAATGCATGTTCACGCTGGCATTAAGAGGTGTAATATTAATGAGGACTCCTCTATATTATGGCATCGGAGATTAGGACATATCTCCATAGAGAGAATTAAAAGATTAGTTAAAGATGGGGTACTTAGTACTCTTGATTTTACTAATTTTAAGACTTGTGCGGACTGTATTAAGGGAAAGCATACCAATAAGTCCAAAAAGGGTGCTAATAGGAGTTCAGAATTATTAGAGATAATTCATACTGATATATGTTGTCCGGACATATATAGTCAGAAATACTTCATCTCATTTATAGATAATTACTCACGATATATGTATATATATTTGCTTCATAACAAAAATGAAGCATTGGATGTCTTCAAAGTCTTTAAGGCTGAAGTTGAGAACCAATGTGGTAAGCAAATTAAAATTGTAAGATCAGATAGGGGTGGAGAATATTATGGTAGATATACTGAAAATGGACAAGCACCTGGCTCTTTTGCTAAGTTTCTTCATGAACATAGGATTATTGCCCAATATACTATGCCTGGTTCTCCAGACCAGAATGGTGTTGCAGAAAGAAGAAACCGAACATTATTAGACATGGTGCGGAGTATGCTTAGCAACTTCAGTCTTCCTAAGTTCTTGTGGACTAAAGCACTAAAGACTGTTGTGTATATATTAAATCGAGTTTCAACCAAGACTGTCCAAAAGACACCATTTGAACTATGGAAAGGTTGGAAACCGAGTTTGCGACATATGCGCATTTGGGGATGTCCGTCTAAAGTCAGGATATATAATCCACAAGAGAAGAAACTGGACCCGAGGACTGTTAGTGGGTATTTCATTGGATATGCCGAAAAGTCCAAAGGTTACATGTTCTATTGTCCATCTCACACAACTAGGATTGTGGAATCAAGAAACGCTAAATTTCTTGAGGATGATGTGATTAGTGGGAGCGATTATTTCAAGAACATAGTTTCCGCACATGATCATATAGAATCTCAACCTTCCACATTAAATGATAGATTGGTTATAGTTCATAGCACTCCTCAAGTACAAACTAGTGCTGAACAACCAATCATTGAAATTCCACAAGTTGTTGATAGTATTCTAATAGATCAAGCGGTTCAGGAATTACAACAAGCTCCTAAACAACTAGTTGAACCACAAGTTCCTCAAGGAACCATTGGTACAACATTAAGAAGATCTACTAGAAATAAAAGATCTAGCAATTCCTAGTGATTATGTTGTATATCTACAAGAATCTGATTATAATATTGGAGCCAAAAATGATCCTGAAACATTTTCACAAGCCATGAGTTGCAAAGAGTCAAATTTGTGGCATGATGCCATGAAAGAAGAGATGAATTCCATGATGAGCAATGGAGTTTGGGATCTTGTAGAGTTGCTTAATGAAGCAAAGGCTATTGGTTGCACATGAGTCTTTAAAACTAAGAAAGATTCGTTAGACAACATTGAGAGATACAAGGCAAGACTTGTTGCAAAGGGATTTACTCAAAAAAAGGGAATCGATTATACGGAGATGTTTTCTCCTGTATCTAAGAAAGATTCTCTACGTATAATTTTGGCATTAGTTGCTCATTTTGACCTTGAATTGCAACAAATGGATGTGAAAACGGTATTTCTTAATGGAGATCTAGAGGAAGAGGTTAATATAAAACAACATGAAGGTTTCTCCTCTAGTGTTGGTGAACACTTGGTTTGCAAGCTTAGGAAGTCTATATACGGCTTAAAACAAGCCTCCCGCCAATGGTATTTTAAATTTCATGAAGTGATTTCTTCATTTGGATTTGTTAAAAATCCCATGATCAATGCATATACCAGAAGGTTAGTGGGAGTAAAATATGTTTCCTTGTTTTATACGTAGATGATATTTTGCTTGCAACCAACGATAAGGGTTTGCTGCATGAGGTGAAATAATTCCTTTCTAAAAATTTTGACATGAAGGATATGGGTGAAGCATCTTATGTCATTGGCATTAAAATCCATAGAGATAGACCTCGAGGCATTTTAGGTCTATCACAAGAAACCTATATTGATAAACTTTTAGAAAGATTTCGGATGAAGGATTGTTCACCAAGTGTTGCTCCCATTGTGAAAGGTGATAGGTTCAATTTGAACCAATGCCCAAAGAACAACTTTGAAAGGGAATCAATGAAAAACATCCCATATGCTTCTGTCGTAGGAAGCCTTATGTATGCTCAAGTCTGTACAAGACCTGATATTGCATTTATTGTGGGGATGTTAGGTCGATATCAGAGTAATCCAGGTATGGACCACTGGAGAGCTGCAAAGAAAGTGATGAGGTATCTACAAGGAACCAAAGATTACATGCTTATATACAGACATACAAACAATCTAGATGTGATTCGTTACTTAGATTCAGACTTCGCCGGTTGTGTTGATTCTCGTAAATCAACATCATGATATATTTTTATGATGGCCGGTGGAGCTATTTCTTGAAGAAGCGCTAAGCAGACCTTGACTGCTACTTCTACCATGGAAGTTGAGTTTGTCTCCTTTCGTGAGGCTACTTCACATGGTGTATGGATTAAGAGTTTCATTTCTGAGCTTAGAATCATTGATTCTATTTTTAAGCCATTAAGAATTTTCTGTGGCAATTCAGCTGCTGTCTTTATGGCTAAAATCAATAAAAGTGGAAGTTGAAGTAAACCAACATT